TGAGGCAGGTGGATCACAAGGTCAAGAGATCGAGACCATCCTGGTCAACATGGTGAAACCCCATCTCTACAAAAAATACAAAAAATTAGCCGGGCATGGTGGTGCGTGCCTGTAATTCCAGCTACTCAGGAGGCTGAGGTGGGAAAATTGCTTGAACCCAGGAGGCGGATGTTGCGGTGAGCCGAGATGGTGCCATTGCACTCCAGCCTGGGTAACAAGAGCAAAACTCCGTCTCAAAAAAAAAAAAAAAAAAAAAAAATTTGTAAAAAAAAAATAAATAAATAAAAGATAATATGTTTTGATTTTAGATTTGGGACAGAGGTTTAGGACCATCAGAGATGCTTATTTGTTTCCTTGCTGGTGGAATACAAACAAGGACTTTTTTTTTGAGACAGAGTTTTTCTCTTGTTGCCCAGGCTGGAGTATAATGTGCAATGGTGCGGTCTTGGGTTACTGCAACCTCTGCCTCCTGGGTTCAAGCAATTCTCCTGCTGCAGCCTCCCAGGTAGCTAGGATTGGATTGTAGGCATGAGCCATCCCACGTGGCTAATTTTATATTTTTAGTAGAGATGGGGTTTCGCCATGTTGGTCACGCTGGTCTTGAACTCCAGACCTCAGGTGATCCACATGTCTCCGTCTTCTAAAGTGCTGAGATTACAGGCGTGAGCCATTGCACCCGGCCAAAACAAGGACTTTTGTAAGGACTCTTTATTTAGCAAGATATCGAGTGGGAATGTTCTGCTGCAGGGAAGAATGAGTTCTCTCAGGAGGATAAGAGTGTTTTAGGGAGGAAAGTTCAGACTCATAAAACACCTTATGTTCTCTGTATAAACATGGAGGTTATAATACCATTTATGTCAAGCTGTTTATAATATGTTTCTAGATGTAGTATTAATATTTCAGCTTTTACTTCAGTGTAATGATTTTCTTATTTGAGTCTGACCACCCTGAATGTGTATCATTTTTACAAAAGCAAGAAAGCTAAACACTTATGAGTCTGAACAACTTTCCTCCCTAAACCATTGCTTTTTTTTTTTCCTTTTTTTTTTTGAGACAGAGTTTTGCTCTTATTGCCCAGGCTAGAGTGCGATGGCGCAATCTCGGCTCACTGCAATCTCCACCTCCTGGGTTTAAGCGATTCCTCTGCCTCAGCCTCCCGAGTAGCTGGGATTACAGGCGTCTGCCACCACAACCAGCTAATTTTTTTGTATTTTTAGTAGAGACAGGGTTTCACCATGTTGGCCAGGCTGGTCTTGAACTCCTTACCTCAGGTGATCTGCCTTCCTAAGCCTCTCAAAGTGCTGGAATTATAGGCGTGAGCCCCCTTGCCTGGCCTCCCTAAACCATTTCTATGACTTAAGAATTAAGGTGGCTGCACGTGGTGGCTCATGCCTGTAATCACAGCACTTTGGGAGGTCAAGGCAGGCCGATCACTTGAGTTCAGGAGTTTGAGACCAGCCTGACCAACATGGTGAAACCCTGTCTCTGCTAAAAATAGAAAAATTAGCTGGGCATGGTGGCACGCGCCTGTAATCCCAGCTACTCAGGAGGTTGAGGCAGGATAATTGCTTGAACCTCAGAGGTGGAGGTTGCAGTGAGCCAAGACTGCACCACTGCACTCCAGCCTGAGCAACAAAGCAAGACTCTGTCTCAAAAAAAAAAAAAGAAAAAAGAATTAAGGTCCAAATCTGGAATCAAAGGTAAGAGTGAAGAGAATTTATTTAATAATTATGAGAACCAGACCCTTTTTTAAAGAAAACAAAACAAAGGCCGGGCGCGGTGGCTCAAGCCTGTAATCCCAGCACTTTGGGAGGCTGAGGCGGGTGGATCACGAGGTCAAGAGATCAAGACCATCCTGGTCAACATGGTGAAACCCCGTCTCTACTAAAAATACAAAAAATTAGCTGGGCATGGTGGCACGTGCCTGTAATCCCAGCTACTCAGGAGGCTGAGGCAGGAGAATTGCCTGAACCCAGGAGGCAGAGGTTGCAGTGAGCCGAGATGGTGCCATTGCACTCCAGCCTGGGTAACAAGAGCGAAACTCCATCTCAAAAAAAGAAGAAAAAAGAAAACAAAACAAAAACAAACCCCAGGCTGGAGGGCAGTGGCACAATCACAGCTCACTGCAGCCTTGACCTTCTGGGCTCAAGTGGTCCTCTCAACTCAGTCTCCCAAGTAGCTGGGACTATAGGCACATAGTAGGCCTGACTAATATTTTAGAATTTTTTTGTAGAGACGGGGTCTCACTATGTTGCCCAAGCTGGTCTTGAACTCCTGGGCTCAAGCAATCCTCCTGCCTCATACTTTGGGAGTATCCTAGTACTCCCAAAGTACTAGGATTGCAGGCATGAGCCACCATGCCCAGCCCAGAATGGGACCATTTTTAATAGGTTATTAGAAGAAAACCTGTCATAAGGCAGAATTTGTGGGGCTAGATATAAGATGGGGGCACTGAAAAGTGGTTTTAGAGGGGCTGTAGCAATTAGGGTTTTTCTATCAGTCCTCTGCCTTTTTGCCCAGATGCTGACAGTGAAACTGTGAAGGCAGCAAAGGTGTGGAAACTCGCAGAGGTCCTGGTGGGTGAGCAGCAGCAGTGCCAGGATGCCAAGAGCCAGCAGAAGGAGCAGATGGTGCTGCTGGAGAAGAAGAATGCCACCTACTCCCAGGTTTATCAGGGCATGGGACAGCCCCTTTCCTTTATCCTGACCTCAGGAGTACTTTTGGGGAAGCCAAAGCTTCCTGATCTACCCTCCTTTCTGCGGTCTTTATTTATGCCCTCTTCCTCCTCCATCTTGGGCTTAGGTGCTTCTCCGCTGCCTCACTTTGCTGCAGAGCCTTCTTCAGGAACACCGGCTAAAGACTCAATCTGAGCTAGACTGCATCAATGCCCAGTACCTGGAAGTCAAGTGCAGTGCTATGATCCTTAAGCTGAGGTGAGCTGTGATCCCTGTGGATCTAAGGGATTCTGTCTCACATACCAGCCCACTATCTCACCTTAATCTCTTTCCTTTCCCTTATCCTAGCACCTTGTGGATATCCAGTAAATGTCACATAGCAGTATTAGCTTTTGGGTTACCAAAAAACTTTCAACATTCTTGAGACTGTTCTTTTATGCCCTTCTGAAATAGCACTTTATTGTGAGATCAACTGCTCAGGAAGTCAGAGTGACCTTGTTTATCCTATCGGTGCTTAGTCCACACCTTGACCATCGGCAGGCACTGTGTCCATTCCCAACCCTGCTCCACTTGACATTTCTTCCTTCCCTCTGTCAGGATGGAGGAGCTGAAGATTTTGTCTGACACTTACACTGGTGAGAAAGTGGAAGTTCATCGTCTGATTAGGTGAGAGCACCCAAGAGTGGTATAGCTAGCTGTTCACAGGTGGTTCTCACATTCCCTAAACTCATTAATTTTAAAATGTTCCCAGCTGGGCGCGGTGGCTCACACCTATAATCCCAGCACTTTGGGAGGCCGAGGCAGGTGGATCACGAGGTCAAGAGATCGAGACCGTCCTGGTCAACATGGTGAAACCCCGTCTCTACTAAAAATACAAAAAATTAGCTGGGCATGGTGGTGCGTGCCTGTAGTCCCAGCTACTCAGGAGGCTGAGGCAGGAGAATTGCTTGAACCCAGGAGGCGGAGGTTGCGGTGAGCAGAGATCGAGCCATTGCACTCCAGCCTGGGTAATAAGAGCAAAACTCTGTCTCAAAAAAAAAAAAAGATTTTAAATGTTGCCATTTTTGGCTGGGCATAGTGGCTCATGCCTGTAATCCTAACACTTTGGGGGGCTGAGGTGGGCAAATTGCTTGAGGTCAGAGTTTGAGACCAGCCTGGCTAATATGGTGAAATCCTGTCTCTACTAAAAAATACAAAAATTAGGCTCAGCATGGTGGCTCATGCCTGTAATCCCAGCACTTTGGGAGGCTGAAGCGGGCAGATCACAAGGTCAGGAAATCGAGACCATCTTGGCCAACATGGTGAAACTCCGTCTCTACTAAAATACAAAAAATTAGTTGGGTGTGATGGCGGGTGCCTGTAGTCCCAGCTACTTGGGAGGCTGAGGCAGGGGAATCGCTTGAACACGGGAGGTGGAGGTTGCAGTGAGCCGAGATTGTGCCACTGCACTCTTGCTGGGCGACAGAGCAAGACTCCGTCCCACCGCCAAAAAAAAAAAAAACCTTAAAAAAAAAATACGAAAATTAGCTGAGCATGGTGGTGCACGCCTGTAATCTCAGATACTTGGGAGATTGAGGCAGGAGAATCACTTGAACCCAGGAGGTGGAGGCTGCAGTGAGCCAAGATCGCACCACTGCACTCCAGCTTGGGCAACAGATACTCTGTCTCAAAAAAAAAAGTTTCCATTTTTGCCTACAACTTTCTGAGGAGCAGAATCCTTATATTGTGCCTTCTCTGCCTGGGCTGTTAGGGACCGTTTGGAGGAAGCCATTCACCTACGGGAGCAGGAAATGGAGAAATCAAGACAGGTCCTGAACTCCTATGAGGTACTTGGGGAGGAGTTTGACAGGCTGGTGAAAGAATACACCGTACTCAAACAGGCAACTGAGAACAAGCGGTGGGCCCTCCAGGAGTTCAACAAGGCCTACCGTTGAGCTCTGGAAGGGCCAGGAAGCATGGCTTCTGCACAGCTGCTGCCTCCTAATCTTCCTGCCAGTAGGACCACCTTCACCTGGGGCTGCCTTCACTACAAGGGAGTGTGGGAATGCTTGTGCTTACTTGACACACTGTAGTCAGTTAGGCACCCTCCCTCCTGTTTCTTTTTCTTGTTTATAATGACTGGGCCTCTTCTGGAAAATCTAGCAAGTAGATTTATATAATTTTTATGCATAGCTTTTTGTCAGTGTCAGCCCCACTGTATTGTATTTGATTATCTAATGAATAAAATTATGACATTGTATCTTAGGATTTTAGTCATTTTCCTTGGGCAAAGATGGTAAAAGAACATTGAAGGCTATGTGGGTAAGGAAGGGGGAACTGAGTGGATCCAAATAGAGACAGATACATGATGCTTATGCAAAGAGTAAGAGATAGAGTTGCCAGCCTGCCTATATCAAGTCTTAGAGGCTTCATTTTGGGAGAGCAGAGTGGATTAAATTTGGGCTTGCTCTTGGAGAGCTATAATCTCCAGAGGAATGCTAGATGCTCAGGCAGGTAGGGAGCTATTTTCTCACTATGGGTATCAGTGTGGGAGTTACAGTAAAGCAACTGAGGCTGGGAGCAGTGACTCACACATGTAATTCCAGCACTTTGGGAGGCCAAGGCAAGATAATCACTTGAGCCCAGCTGTTGAAGATCAGCCTGGGCAACATAGCAAGACCTTTGTCTCTATGAAAAAAAGATTTTTTTTTTTAGATGGAGTATTGCTCTGTTGCCAGGCTGGAGTGCAGTGGCACAATTTCACCTCACTACAATCTCCAGCTCTTGGGTTCAAGTGATTATCCTGCCTCAGCCTCTGGAGTAGCTGGGATTACAGGCGTGCGCCGCTACACCCAGCTGAAAAAAAATTTTTAATTAGTGTGATGGTGTGTGCCTGTAGTACCAGCTACTCAGGAGGCTGTGGCAGGAGGTTCACTTGAACCCAGGAGGTCAAGGCTGCAGTTAGCCATGATGGCAGTGCTGCACTCAGCCTGGGTGACAGAGTGAGACCCTGTCTCAAAAATTAAATAAATAAATAAATGAAGCAGCCAGTGTCCACCTCACTTATAGGAAAGGACACAAGCCACTTGTGTTCCTGGTTGCCTCTAGTGTAGTTTGAGGGCTACTTTTTTTTCCAAGAGCAGAGGTTTGGAGGAGATCCCCCTGAGGAACCAAGTTCAACAGTCAGCTTAGAACAAGGCAGAGTCCTGGCTGGTGTCAAAATGGGGGACTAAGAGCAGAAGCAGAAGGCCTCTACCTTTATTTAGAAGAGCCTACTCAGTTTCTGAAACCATTTTCCAGGGAAACTGTCTTGGGGCATTCTGCTAATATCAAATGGTGGTCTAGCTTTATTTACAGAAAGAATGTCTTCGACTCAACTTTTTTTTCCTTTATTATTTTTTGAAACAGGGTCTCACTTTGTTGCCACATGATGGTCTGGATTTATTTACAAGAAGAATTAATGTCTTTGACTTAACTTTTTTTTTTTGAAACAGGGTCTCACTTTGTGGCTGGAATGTAGTAGCATAAACACAGCTTTATTAAGGAGAATTGACAAAACAAAAACAAAAAAACCACGGCTCACTGTAGCCTCAACCTCCTAGGCTCAAATGATCCTTCCACCTCAGCCTCGCAGGTAGCTGGGACTACAGGTGGGTGCCACCATGCCCAGCTAATTTTTGTATTTTTTTTATTTTTGAGATGGATTCTTGCTCTGTTGCCCTGGCTAGAGTGCAGTGGTGTGATCTTCGCTCACTTCCACCTCCATCTCACGGGTTCATGCGATTCTCATGTTTCAGCCTTCTGAGTAGCTGAGATTACAGGTATGTGCCACCACATTGGGCTAATTGTTGTAGTTTTAGTAAAGATGGGGTTTTGACATGTTGGCCAGGTTGGTCTCGAACTCCTGACCTCAGGCAATCCACCTGCCTCGGTCTCCCAAAATGCTGGGATTATAGGTGTGAGCCACTGCACTCAGCCAATTTTTGTATTTTTTTTTTTTGGAGAGCAATTGCTCAGAGATTCAGAGTGACCTTGTTTATCCTATCAGTGTTTAGCTCATACCTTGACCATCGGCAGTTACCGTGTCCATTCCTAAGCCTGCTGCTATCAGGGATCTTCCACTTGACATTTCTTTCTTCCTTCTGTCAGGATGGAGGAGCTAAAGATTTTGTCCAACATGCCACTGCACTGCAGCCTGGGTGACAAAGTGAGACCCTGCTTTCCAAAAACCAAACAAAAAAATGAAATTTTCAGTAGGCTACTGGTTATTGTATTGGACATTGCAGATATAGAATATCTACATTATTACAGAAAGTTCTATTGGACAGTGCTGTAAACCTGTATTTCCTGGAAACTGGAAGTAGGTCCACAGACTTGATTAGATTTCGGTTACACAGGTTTGCAAAGAATACTTAATAAATGACATTACATACTTCACATTACATCACCCTGGAGACATCAGGTTGCAATTTGTCACTATTAATTATGCTGAGTTTTATTGCTTGGTTAAGGTGGGAACTGTCAGATACCACATAGCGATATCTCTAGTGTATAAAAATCCATTTTCTCTTTGTAAGTAGCATCTGGAAATGAACTTCAAAAATCTCAAAATAGTTCTTCCTGATACTTAGAGTGTTTAGCATTTCCTCAGTCAATTAGTTTTGGTATACTAATCATCCTGAATCATACTAAGTTTTGGTATTTGAAATAATAAAGGTAATAACTTTTAAAACTGGATCTTGAGGCCAGGCCCAGTGGCTCACACATGTAATCCCAGCACCTTGGGAGGCTGGGGTCAGTAGATCATCTGAGGCCAGGAGTTTGAAACCAGCCTCCCCAACATGGCAAAACCCTGTCTCTACTAAAAATACAAAAATCAGTCGGGTGTGGTGGCGCATGCTTGTAATCCCAGCTACTCAGGAGGCTGAGGCACGAGAATTGCTTGATCCCAAGAGGTGGAGGTTGTGGTAAGCCAAGATCACACCACTGCACTCCAGCCTGGGTGACAGAGCAAGACTCCATCTCAAAAAAAAAAAAGGACCTTGCCAGGGCCCAGTGACTCACGCCTGTAATCCCAGCACTTTGGGAGGCCAAGGCGGGGTAGGGGGGATCACGTCAGGCCAGGAGTTCAAGACCAGCTTGGCTAACATGGTAAAACCCCATCTCTACTAAAAATAAAATTAGCCAGGTGTAGTGATGCCTGCCTGTAGTCCCAGCTACTCAGAAGGCTAAGGTGGGAGGATCACTTGAACCTGGAAGGGGGAGGTAGCAGTTAGCAAAGATTGTAGCACTGCACTCCAGCCTTGATGACAGAGTAAGACTGTTTCTAAATAAATGAATAAAAACCTTGTTCTCAATGTTTATAACCTATACACAGTAGTAGACACACAAAACAGTCTAAGAACATAAAGTAACAAGAAGTGCAAATATATGTGGTTGTAAACCAGAAGTGAAATCAAGAATAGAATTTGAGGGCTGGGTACAGTGGCTCACCTATAATCCTAGCACTTCAGAACCCCAAGGAGGGAGGATTGCTTGAGTCCAGGAGTCTGAGACCAGTCCGGGAAGCACAGGGAGAACCCATCTTTACAAAAGAAAAATTTTTTAAATTAGCTGTGCTTAGTGGCATGTGCCTGTATTTCCAACTACTCAGGAGGCTGAGGTGGGAGCATTGCTTGAGCCTGGGAGGTTGAAGTTACAGTGAGCTGCATGCCACTGTACTCCAGCCTGAGTGGCAGAGCAAGATTCTGCTTCAAAAAGAAAAAATTAAGGAACAGAATTATGGAAAAACCAACAAAGAGAGAAAAGGGAAGAAGCCATGTGGGAAGGCAGAGTTAAGAATGGGCAAATCACATACCAAAGAAAGCTTTCATGTAAAGTGAACAAAATTTGATAAAAAAATATCCTATGGCTTCAGTAGAGAATCTGGAAAGCTGGAGTTTGAGAAACATTTCAATTTTGAGCTGCCTGAGAAAGCAAAATGAGTTCCACGGCAGTGGTCCTCACTCTGGCTCTCTAAATGGCATGGGGATGGACAGTGAGCTATTTCTTGTGTTTCCAAAAAGCCTGAAGAAAATGGGCCAGGTGCAGTGGTTTACGCTTGTAATCCCAGCATTTTGGGAGGCGAAGGCAGGCAGATCGCCTGAGCCCAGGAGTTTGAGACCACCCTGGGCAATATGGTGAAACCCTGTCTCTACTAAAATACAAAAAATTAGCTGGGTGTGGTGATGTGCACCTATACTCCCAGCTACTTGGGAGGTTGAGGCATAAGAATTGCTTGAGCCCCAGAGGTGGAGGTTGCAGTGAGCTGAGATTGGGCCATTGCACTCTAGCTTGGGCTACAGACTGAGACTGCCTAGAAAAAAACAAAATAAATAAATAAATAAAATGGGGCCAGGTGCAGTGGCTCATCATGCCTGTAATCCCAGCACTTTGGGAGGCCGAGGCAGGCAGATCACTTGAGGTCAGGAGTTCCAGACCAGCCTGGGCAACATGGTGAAACCCTGTCTCTTAAAAAACAAAACAAAAAACTAAAAACAAAATAAAATAGAAAAGAAAATGGAATATTTGCTTGCAACAGTTCTGCACAAACTTTTTTTTTTTTTTTTTAATGGAGTTTTGCCCCTGTTGCCCAGGCTGGAGTGCAATGGCACAATCTTGGCTCACCGCAACCTCCACCTCCTGGGTTTAAGCGATTCTCCTACCTCAGCCTCCTGAGTAACTGGGATTACAAGCATGTGCCACCATGCCCAGCTAATTTTGTATTTTTAGTAAAGATGGGGTGAGGCTGGTCTCGAACTCCCAACCTTAAGTTATCTGCCTGCCTTGGCCTCCCAAAGTTCTGGGATTATAGGCGTGAGCCACCATGCCCAGCCTTGCAGAAACTATTTTTTTAAAAAAATATTTATTGGCTTTAAAACTAGAACACATGCTTTGTCAAAATACTCAAAACAGGCTGGGTGTGGTGGCTCACGCCTGTAATCCAGCACGTTGGGAGGTCAAGATGGGTGGATCACGAGGTCAGGAGTTCGAGACCAGCCTAGCCGACATGGTGAAATTCCATTTCTACTAAAAATACAAAAATTAGCTGGGCATGGTGGCGGGTGCCTGTAATCCCAGCTACTCAGGAGGCTTTAGGCAGGAGAATCACTTGAACCTGGGAGGCAGAGGTTACAGTGAGGCAAGACTGCACCATTGCACTCCAGCCTGGGCAACAGAGCGAGACTCCGTCTCAAAAAAAAGAAAAAATTCTCAAAGCAGAATTATATACAGTAAAAAGTAAAAGATTAAACCACACACCTTCAGATACCCCCACACAAAAACCCTGTTACCCCAACCCACCTCCCCAGAGTAACCAGAGTGATTTGGTGTATAGATCACTGTGTGTCAGATCTGTTTCTATAAATATACAACCATATGCACATAAATATTAGCTAATATTAGCTGGGCATGGTGGTACTCTGATAGCCATAGCTACTCAGGAGGCTGAGGTAGGAGGATTGCTTGAGCCTAGGAGTTGGAGGCTGCAGTGAACTATGATTGTGCCAATGTACTCCAGCCCAGGTGACAGAGCAATACCTCGTCTCTAAAAATTAAATAAAGAAAAAGTTTAAAAAATTTAGGTAATATTATTATTAGACTATGGTTATATTATCATTTAACCATTCCCTTTATGATATTAAGATTATTAATATCCTTCTTGCCCTATTGCAAAAATGCTTCATTGGATATCACTGCACATATATCTTGCTCAGGTGCCTTTGCTTTCTGCTGGTATTATAGTAAATCAGTATATTATATTACTTATTTTATGGAAAAAATAAACCTTTTTTTTTGAGACAGAGTCTTACTCTGTTTCCGAGGATGGAGTGCAGTAGCATGATCTCAGCTCACTGCAACCTCTGCTTCCCAGGTTCAAGCAATTCTCCTGCCTCAGCCTCCCAAGTAGCTGGGATTACAGGTGCATGCCACCACATCTAGCTAATTTTTGTATTTTTATTAGAGACAGGGTTTTGCCACGTTGGCCAGGCTGCTCTTGAACTCCTGACTTCAGGTGATCCACCTGCCTTGGCCTCCCAAAGTGCTGGGATTACAGGCATGAGTCACTGTGCCCAGCCAGAAAAAATCAACTATTGATTGAGCTTATGAGTGTAGTCTGGTAGAAAAAAGTCTTTCAAAACAGTTTCTTTGTAGGGGAAAAGGAACAAAAGACATGTCCAGTGTGGCCTGAGGGAACACTACAGCTCTTGGTCCATTCATTCTGCACATCCACTGGAGTTACAAGATTTGCTGGAGGTGCCTTTCCTATATGCTGCTCTCTATTGTGGCAGCATGGGAAGGGCCCTTGTAGGATAAGTAGAAGGGGCTGCATGAAAGTGACAGCTGAGGGTTGGCATCTTGGATCTTAGCTGCCCTCTTTCTCTCACACTGCTAAGAAAAGATTTGCATTTACTGCTTCCCTTCATTCTTTCACAATTGAACATCTTTACTTGCTTACCATGTCTGATAAATCTTATTGATTCTTCCCTTGTATGAGAGATAAAGGAAATCACCTCCAGAACTTGGAATAAGATCTCTGGGACTCTTGGATAAACAAAATCTGTTTCCTGAATATTCTCCATGAAAGGTGAATATGGAGGTGTACTGGGGAGTGCATTCTTCCTCAGCTACTGCGACCTGGAGACCCAGTGCCCCCTAAGGGCCATCTTGGGCATCTTCAAAAGAGAAGGGTGCTCCTGGGTCCAACCACCCTGTGTTGCCCCTCACCCCAAAAAGAATCTCTCCATATTGGCTGGATGTGGTAACTCATCCCTGTAATCCCAGCACTTTGGGAGGCTGAAGCAGGCAGATCACTTGAGGTCAGGAGTTCGAGACCAGCCTGGCCAACCTGGTGAAACAAGGTCTCTGCTAAAAATACAAAATTAGCCAGGTATGATGGTGCACTGAGCTATGAGAATAGCTTGAACCCGGGGGTGGAGGCTGCAGTGAGGCAAGATGGTGCCACTGCACTCCAGCCTGGGTGACAGTGAGACTCTGGCTCAAGAAAAAAAAAAAAAGAATCTCTCCATATTATCCATTTTGAAGGACCTGGACTAGGTTTTGTTAAAGGAACTAACAAGTTTCCTTATACCTTGAGACAGCAAAATTATGAATGAATTTACAATAGGCTAGATTAACAATATGTAGACATGATTTAACTTAAAAGATGGTCGGTATTTGAGTTGCTGAGGTCCAGCCAAAGTGGCTAAGTTCTGGTCTCAGGAAAAAACAACTGAAGTTTAGAGAGTCCTAAATGTACCAAGCCTGGCTGAAAAAATGTGTAACCAAAAGCAAATGACTTAGTAAAGGGTTATCTATTTTTTTTTTTGAGATGGAGTTTCACTCTTGTTACCCAGGCTGGAGTGCAATGGCGCAATCTCAGCTCACCGCAACCTCCGCCTCCTGGGTTCAGGCAATTCTCCTGCCTCAGCCTCCTGAGTAGCTGGGATTACAGGCATGTGCCACCATGCCCAGCTAATTTTTTGTATTTTTAGTAGAGACGGGGTTTTACCATGTTGACCAGGATGGTCTCGATCTCCTGACCTCGTGATCCACCCACCTCGGCCTCCCAAGTGCTGGGATTACAGGCGTGAACCACTGCACCCGGCCCGAAAAGGGTTATCTAAAGAACAAGATTGGCCAAGTGCGGTGGCTCATGCCTGTAATACCAGCACTTTGGGAGGCTGTGGCGGGTGGATCACCTGAGGTCAGGAGTTCGAGACCAGCTTGGCCCACATGGTGAAACCCTGTCTCTACTAAAAATACAAAAAGTAGCCGGGCATAGTTGAGCGTGCCTGTAGTCCTAACTACTTGGGAGGCTGAGGCAGGAGAATTGCTTGAACCCAGGAGGCGGTGGTTGTAGTGAGCTGAGATCGTGCCACTGCACTCCAGCCTGAGACTCTATCTCAAAAAAAAAAAAAAAAAAAAAAAAAAAAGAGCAAGGTCAGGGTTCTCCAGAGAAACAGAACCTAGATATATGTATATATGATTTATTTTAAAGAATTGGCTCATGTGATTACAGGAGCTGGCAAGTCTAAAATCTATAGGACAGGCCAGCAGACTGAAAACAAGCAGAAGTAATGCTATAGTCCTTTTTTTTCCCCCCAACTTTTATTTTAGGCTCAGTGGGTACATATGCAAGTTCATTACATGAGTAAGAGTAATCCCGGCACTTTGGGAGGCTGAGGCAGGCAGATCACAAGGTCAGGAGATCGAGACCATCTTGGCTAACATGGTGAAACCCTGTCTCTACTAAAAATACAAGAAATTAGCCAGGTATGGTGGTGAGCATCTGTAATCCCAGCTCCTCCGGAGGCTGAGTCAGGAGAATCACCTGAACGCGGGAGGCGGAGGTTGTGGTGAGCCAAAATCGTGCCATTGCACTCTAACCTGGGTGACAGACTCCATCTCAAAAAAAACCCAGCATGTAACCATGGGTCTTTCTACATGAGTTACAACCTCCACCTCCTGGGTTCAAGCGATTCTTCTGCCTCAGCCTCCCAAGTAGCTGAGATTACAGGCACGTGCCACCATGCCCAGCTAATT